ACCTCCTCCTGTCCCGCGGCGGGGGGGGGGGGGCCCTGCCGTTGTACAGAAATAAACCCCCACGTAAGACTCTTTCTCCAGTATGTACTAAAGCTGTTGATGTTAGATAAGGTAATGAAGATGTGCTGTTCCTCACAGTCCTCCTCGTGGTGTTAGAGGACCCCTCTCTCATGGTGGAGAGTAATTGGAGGGACAGGTGAGAAGCAGCAAACCCGTAGTCAGTAATGGAATAGCTGAAGCTAAATGAGAAACTGGATTACTTTGGATTCAGGCTAAGAGGGTATGTGGTGAGAGGATAGGCAGGTGAGGGCCCTCACTACCTCCTGGGAGGATTGCCTGAAGGTGTACCAAAGTGACACCAGCATTGGAGGTACCTTCTTTGGGAAGGCTGCCTTGGTGATACTTCTGTTGCCCTTCCTCTTGTTTTTGCCCTCGGTGGTGCCTCAATGTCCTGTCATGTATTTAAGTATTTTTTCCACTGTGGTCATCTGTCATAATTAAAGTAGACTTTACTCCAGTGCAAAATGTAGCTCTGTAGTGGATGGGTCTTGACTGCCTAGCACAGCCATTTCCATGGCGTTGACATCAAGGAATTAGACCCGGGAAAAGCATACGAGCCCTGGTACCCTGGCCTTGCCAAGGGTATGGCTGATGAACATCTCTTCTAGTACTGGTGCTGTGGGATTACAAATGAGCAGGACCTCTGCTCCAAAAACGAGGAGGGGGGCTCAGCAAAGTCATGTACCTGCTTCTGGTCATCTCTGCATTTTCTCTGCACATACATAGAGCAGCCAAGAACCAGGAGATGTCTGTCTCCCTTTCCCCATCCCTAAAGCTGTATGTACAGTACTTCCTGAGAGGTGGTTCACCACTGCTGTGTGTGTCTCAGCCCGCCTGGTGGGGAGATGCTCCCACCATGATAACAGGTTGTGGGAATAGCACTGGTAAAAATAACCAAGCGGTGAGTCATCTCCTTCTCCCCTCAGCTTGTCTGCGCAGGAGCTGTCTGCCGCTTTCACACCGAAATTACTCATTCTGCTTTAGTCTTTAATAAATACCCTGTCCTTTACAAACTGCCAGCTGAGGGTGGGAGGAGACCTGCTGGAGTCTGTTTGGGAATCCAAGGTAACCAGGTGAAATCGAATTGTCTTTGGGAGTGATCCCATGAGGAGAGCGAGGGCTCGGAGCAGCTCTGTGCAGTGGTGATGGAGGCTGGCTGCCCTCTGGTGTTCCTTTGGTGGTGTCAATACGCTTTTGGAAGCCCGCTTGGGGAATCTGGTGTGGTTTGGGGATTCTTTGGTCCTAAACGCCTCTCGTTTATTTTTTGTTCCAGTCCCTAGAGGAAGTGTGTGACCTATTGCATGCGGCGCCATTCCAAAATATACTGCCCAGAGTTCACGTCAAAGGTATTGGCTAAGTGAAAACACCTTCCTCGGGTAATGCTTTCTGCTTTTCTTGCCTGCTGCTGTGGTTTTGGTGACCATCCCCAGCCATCTTTTACAACAGCACTGTTAATTACAGGACAGAGGTAACACATTCAGGCCTGCCTGCCTGGCTGAAAAATACCTGCCTCTTAGCAAGTCTCAGTGCAAATATTGCAAGAGGAAGAGTAGGAACGCTGTGAAAGGGAAAAGTGGGATGGATACCCAGGGTGATATCACCCCTCTGTGGGGATATGGCTTGATCATACAGGGTATAGGAAGTCAGCAAGTAAGTAAATAAATACAAGTGCTCCCTGGTCCCAGTAGACTTTTGCATGCTTTTTTACTAAACTGGACGTGCAGTAGTGAATGTTTGCAGGATTGCTTCCTTTATATCTCCTTTCCTCATCCTTCATCATCAGAAAGTGAGCTCTGTCTCCTTTCCTCTATGTTTCCCGCTGCTGGAGCAGCTGATTAGTTCTACTCAAAGAAATCCCATCAGCTAAAAGTCTTTGAGAACATTTCCAGGCTCACCTTAGCTACTTTCATCTCTGCATAAAATGAACCAGGTCATTGTAAATAGCATTTTTCCATTTGCCAGAAAACATTTCCTACTTGCCAGTGACGAGGGGGTGCCAAGTGCTTTTTGTAAGCCTTGCTATATACAAGATTCCACCCTTGTTGTACCCCACCTTCTAGAGCCGTAAAGCATTTTATGTGTGATAAGGACGATTTAGTTGGATTAGTACAAGTGGGAGTCAAATATATTAGCAGCAGCAGCATAATAGAGCTTTATATTCTTTCTTGAATTTAGTTATTCCTTCTTTCTGTTTGCACATGCAATGCAACTTTCTGAAGTATTTATTTTTCTAAAGTATCTGAAGTATCTATTTTCTAAAAGCACATTGAAGGTTAACCAGCTTTTTAGAACTGAAATTACCCATAAAAGTCACATACCCAGCTTTTTTCTGCACTGAATAAAGATTGCGTGAAAATAAGAATTTTCTTGTTTAATTGAAATTTGTCAGTGCTCTCTCCATTTATTGATTTTATTTTTTTTCAGAGGGTGAAAGACTTGATGCTAAAATGAAGAGACTGGAATCAAAATATGCTCCACTACATTTGGTTCCTCTCATTGAAAGACTAGGCACACCCCAGGTAATCTCTCCCGTTTGTGTCCAAAGCAATTCAGTATATTTCTGAGCACTAGAAACCCTGTCCCTTCACACGTCGACTTCAACCTGCACATCCAGCTTGTTCACACAACAGGGTTTTTTCTAGATCCATGGATTAGGTAAAGCCGTTAAAGCTCAGAAGTTTAAAACATTTCAGAGCAGGGTGGAGGTGACACTGGAGGTTTTGGGGAAAATGCTGATTTGTATGTATGTTGCTGTGCGATACCCTGCTCAGTGTAAGGGCCAGCCTGGGAGGTCCTGGTGCAAATTCCACCAAAAGTAATCAGTTTTCTTGTGCATGTGTGCGTATGTTTTTAAACCAGTTTATTCCTCTTTCAGCCAGATGATTTGAAACTCTTGGAGAATGAGCTGTCATTGAGTTGAGCTCTTCTGGAAACAGTCACCAAAGAAAACATTCTTGAATGGCCTTTGCAGCTTCAGCACTATTTTCCTGTCTCTTGGTGGGGGTGGAGGTTACATTAATTCCCTGCTAACTGTAGCAGTTGACAAGCAATGGAGATGTGAACAGTAGAAACTCAAGAGTTTCAGGCTGCTTTTGTCATCATAGATCCTGCAGTTCAGTAGGTTCTGCTGCAGTACAGAGAGAGCTCACTGCAGCAGCACAAGCTGGGACAAGCCCTCACTGGCATTGTCTCCTGTGGAGTTTGTCTGAGCCTGTTTGTGCTCTTTTTGGAGCTTTTCCATCCCTAGCAGCAGCAGCCATGAGAGCACAGGCAGCAGCTACTGCCCATACTAACAGCAGAGCACTCAACTCTTTGGGTTTGCTTTCTGTCTCCATTCAGGCAAAGAATTCTTTAAACTTCCCTGAGGCTAGTCCAGGATCAGGATTACTGCAGTTGGTGTCACTCACTTTAAAGCCTGTCTGCTTGCAAAGACTTTTCAGTGTAGTCTTGTGGTCAGGTGGCTTTTACCAGGATTTTGCACTCTCTTTCTCTCCACCTTAGCAAATAGCAATCGCAAGGGAAGGGGACTTGCTGACCAAAGAACGCCTCTGCTGCGGTCTGTCCATGTTTGAGGTTATCCTCACGAGGATCCGCTCCTTCCTGGATGATCCCATCTGGCGTGGGCCACTGCCCAGCAACGGGGTGATGCATGTGGACGAGTGTGTGGAATTCCATCGCCTCTGGAGTGCCATGCAGTTCGTCTACTGCATCCCTGTGGGAACACACGAGTTCACTGTGGAGTACGTACCATCAGCTGCCAGCACTGCACCTACGGGCAAACAGGGCTTTGCTTGTCCTCCCTGGAACTGGATAGGGGGCCTAGAATGGAGCTGTTTGTCTGTCTGCAAGAGCTTAGTGCAGAAGCAAGGGAAAGTGCTGCCATCACTGGGGCTTATGAGTGGCTCATAATCACCCATGAACACAGATATTATTGTGTCTTTAATGAAAAAAACCCTCTGTTTAAGTATTGCCAGTGTATAATGAGCAATTCCGTGGCAAACAGGCCCTAGCACGTGTCTTTCAATAGTACCCATACTCCTACGGCCACTGAGCTTATATAGAATCATAGAAGTACAGAGTGGTTTGGGTTGGAAGAGACCTTAAAAGATCATCTAGTTCCAACTCCCCTGCCATGGGCAGGCGCACCTTCCACTGGACCAGGTTGCTTAAAGCCCCGTCCAACCTGGCCTTGAACCCTAACCATCTATGAGTCTATGATATGTTTCTGAACGTGTAGGTGAAACGTGGTTTACATGGCGTTTCCTGTTGCAGGCAGTGCTTTGGAGATGGTTTGCACTGGGCTGGCTGTATGATCATTGTGCTTCTGGGACAGCAGCGTCGCTTTGATGTATTGGATTTCTGCTACCACCTGTTGAAAGTCCAAAAGCACGATGGCAAAGACGAGGTTATAAAGAATGTGGTGAGTTGAAAATGTCTGCTGTGTGTTCGCTGCAGTGAGAAAGACAGCAATTAATCAGAGCTGTTTGTACTGGGATACAATGTGGATCCCAGTGGAATGTAGATCCCAGTAGAATGCAGACACTTTTTAGAATGAAATGCTGAAAATGAGGGCCCTGGGGTTTTTAGGAACAGAAGATTAAGGCATTAGTAGTGGAGTTTGAAGACTGGTTGGTGAGAATTCTGGTATCCTGAACACACGGGATTTTCTTACTGCTTGCCATCTTAAATGCATGCATTTAGATTATGGTAAGGCTGCTGTAAATTGCCCTGTTTTCTACAAAAAGCAGCTCTGCCAAAACCCAAAACGCACCTTGATTTTCACTGGATTAGCAGTGGAAGGGAGACGTTCAGAGCACTGCTGGGAGAGGTGAGGTAACAGCACTCGCTGCTTTTGTGGCTACGGCTTTTTATGTCCCAGGCTAATTCCCGTGTGTGTGTTTTCTTGATATTTGCAGCCTTTGAAGAAAATGGTTGAGAGAATTCGCAAGTTCCAGATTCTGAATGATGAAATAATTGCTATTTTGGACAAGTATTTGAAGTCCGGTGACGGAGAGAGCACACCCGTGGAACACGTGCGCTGCTTCCAGCCACCTATTCATCAGTCCCTCGCCAGCAACTAGACTTCCCACCTAACGACACTTTTTGCACCTCTTTAGGCTAAAAGTATGAGGAAGAAAAGCAACAAACAAACCCCACACCAACAGTTTTAAGGAAATCTCTCGTCTGCATTTTTCAGTTCGCCTGTGCCATCTGAGTGGTGCCCTGTCCCCTCCAGTCTCCAAGCACAGTAACTGTATACAATCCATACTTATTTTTCTAGACTAAAATTTTATACACTTTGATTAAAAACCTGTGACTAAAAGATTTTTGCAATCTCTTTGCATTCCTGTACCGAGGTGGCCATTTTAGGCTGGACTGGCATCGTTTTCCCCCGAAGGTATCAAAAAAATAGCTGTGGAGGATAAGAAACTGGGTTCTGTAGAAAAAAATCTGTAGAAATCAATTCCTAATTGTTTGTATTGGAGCATTAATTGCTTAATTAGCCTTTATTAAAAAGAAACAACAGACAAACTCCACTGGTGCTTTGTGAATAATTTTCATCTTCAGTTGATTATTTTGCCTCTTTGCAAAGCTGTTCTCCAAGATCAGTCATTCTGGAAATGAAGGCTAATTAAGGTGGTGGTTTCACAGTTACTTCACTGACTGATAATATTCTGATCTTTTTAACAGGCAATATTTGGATTAGTTAGAAAGGGGACTGTTTAATTTTTCTTAATGAGGACTTCTAACTCAGTTTGTATTTTGGTTGGTGATAGGTACCTGTGTACCAAAACACATGTTTACAAGCAGTGAGTAATTCTCGTTTACAAGAATCATGGCAACAGTGATCAGGTGTAATCTATCCCAGCACGTAAGCTCTGATGATGTTAATCATGATTTACTTCTGGGAAGTATTTGTTTAATTACACTTACTGTATTATGCAAACACTACATCAGTAAAACCGTTTGTAAAACTTTGCAGCTGTAAAAGTTGGATTTTAAAGCAACCACTTCAACCAGAAGCTGTAACTCCTGCTTACTTACTGCTGGGTCCTAGCACAGGAGCTTTTCAATCAGCTGTTACGATCAACCCTGGATCAGACACAGGCAAGTAATTGCATATTTCATGCAGGAGATGGATTTCTGGAGCTGCTATTTGTTTCTAACCTAGAGTGTCAAACCAAGAATGCACCCCTTTGAGAACCTGTTTTTCTCACTCTTCTTAGTTCAAGGTTAGGTTACAGCACCTCTTTTCTTCTGCTCAGCTCTTTTCACATGTTTGACTGGAACAGAATCGAGTCCAGTAACGGGTGGAAACACATGTCTGACAGAGTATGTGGGAGATGAGGAACATGTAGGTACTGCGGTGGCAGGGAATGGAGTTTTGAGGAAAGAAATTAACTGGATTTGCCAGGCAATCTGAAAGTAAGCTTCTGCTACCACGGGTTTCCCCAGGACATTGGTGCTTGAGAGCTGCTGTTCTGGAGCTGTCTCTACTGTGGCGAGCACACGCCAGGCTGCCCTGTGGAGGGGAGGCAGAAGTAGGAAATGCTTGTGCTTTGTTACACCGGCTTGTTGCAGGATTCCTTTTACAAGGTGCTTAACAGCCAGCTGTCTGTAAGAAACATCTTTTGTAGTTCTTACAAGACTCGTAGTCAACCAAATGGTTCCCTGTGCTTCAGGCCTCAATGAAGGCAATGAGCGACTTTCTGAATTTGTTGCTATCATCACTGGCTTATGGATGTCTCATGCACCCGAGGCTTTGGCTTGGCACTGTGGTGCAGAAATAGTTAATTAATCAAGCTGGACTTTTTAGTTAAAAACTAGCTGCAAATAACTAATCCTGATGTGAGTACAGCATGTTCTAATTCTTACCAGTTCACTTTCAGCAGTAAGAGAATTGGCCTCTAATGTCTTAAAACTGCTAGCATTCATACATAGCTTATGATTACTTTTCTCCTGTTAGTATTAATTTAAGAGAATTCAGACATTAGCCCTGTGAGAAGTTTGTTTCCTTTTTTTCAAAGGTAGGTTACTTTTTTTTCCAACAGGATTGTTAGACTTGAAGGGAGTTAAACCCTCTTCACCTGGTAAAACTTGTTCTATCCAAAATGAAGAATGTAGCAATGTGCCTAAAAGGTACAGTTTTTCATGTTTAATTATTTCTTATAAAAGAGTGGCACTGGAGACCAAAGTGCCTCTTACAACATAAAGTGACAGACTCCACTGTATGAAATTGCAACCTGCTGTTTGCACAGGCTCTCATTTTGGTACCAGAAGCGGCAGCCCAGAGTTCAGTGACTCCTTGGCCATTTGCTTTCCTCCCTGTCACCGTGCTCTTTGTGTAAGCAGCTGTGATGTTCTTTCTTTAAAAATCAAGTAAAAGTTCAAAATCCCATTTTTCAACCCAAATGTAAAGAACCTTTCTCTCGTTTGACACCTTCATCCCTCCTGAACGTACAAGATGTACCAAAGGAAGGTGGCATAGTTTGCCTCACAGTGGGAACTGTTTTTTTGTCGTGGTAATAATCTCAAATTATACTCATAAAAGGTAAGCACTTAAACTGACAACTTACAGCAGTAACTTGTTAGGTCTGTCCCAAATAAATTCTATGGTAGAAATGTTCTTGTAAAAACTGTATCACCAATTTTTATTCTCTGCTTCTGCAAACCTAAATTACCACCCACCTGCCTCACCCCTTTTTTAAGCAAGGACATTATGTTCCAATTTTTAGGCCTTTTTTAAAAACTTACGTATCACAGCCAGTAACTGTGCAAACAAAGCTGCACTTCTGCGAGTTCAAGCTATTACATCAGAATGACTGAGCAGCTCTACAGAGCCATTGCCACATGGCGCAACAGAGAGAGAGGGAAAGCTTGGGCTTGCTTATTCTGCCTGGAGAAGAGGGCTCCAAGGCAACCTTCTGGCAGCCTTCTAGTACCTAAAGAGAGCTGGAGAGGGCCTTCTTACAAGGGCATGTAGTGATAGGACAAGGGGGGAATGGCTTTGAACTAACAGAAGGGAGATTTAGGTCATATATGTAAGGAGGAAGTTCTTCACTGTGGAGGTGGTGAAGCACTAGAAGGGGTTGTCTAGAGAAGCTGTGGCTGCCCCATCCCTGGCAGTGTTCAGGTCTAGGCTGGATGAGGCTTTGAGCAACCCAGCCTAGTGGAAGGTGTCCCTAATCATGGCAGGCAGGTTGGAACTATATACTCTCTACTGTCCCTTCCACCCCAGTTGACTCTATGATTTTATGACAGGACCACACCTCTTTTACAGAAGAGGGAGCAGTTCTGGGGTTTTTTTTTTGGTTGGGGGTGGACAGGGATAAATTCTCAGGAGGTACCGTAGCCTCATCTATCTTAAGCAGAGCAGAAGCTCCTGCCTTCTTGTTGCTGCCAGCAGCCAGTTACTCTGATTTGGTCAGGAGCAAGGTGAGCTTTGGTAAGATGTAAATCCTGCAAGTGGAGAACACAGCTTTAGTGAAGCAGTATTTCAAAGGATTATTGTTGCTTGGTTGTAGTTTTCCCTTTCTTCTTCTACAACTGGGACGAGCAGTTGCTGCAGCTCTTGTTTTTAGTGTGTTAGCAGTCAGTATTCAGTCAGGGCATAAGTACAAAGGATCCAGGGTCACTGCAGTCTTTTTACCACCAATGCAGAAATAAAGCAATTTATTTTTGATAAAACTGTCATTAGTGCAATACATCTTGGAACAGAAGAATGAAATGAAAGTATTTACACATAACTTAAGCAACAAATCCAACTGTGGTCTGAGGTCATTTTAGTATTTTTTTAAAGTAAAAATAAGGCAAATAAAAACCCTCCTGTGTTCTTTACCCAAACTAATCAAACTTAAAAATTAACGATTGTCTACACATACTGTTAAAAAGTACATGATTTTCCAGACAAGCTCAGGCGTTTCACAGCAGAAAAAAAATATTCCAGAGTTACAGAATTGTTCTCTTCTTAAGTAACACGTAGCTATTTTCAGAAGGCTGACAGACTTCCATTTCTCCTGGCTGAGAGGCTCTCAGTGGACTGCATTTCACCTAGACAGGCCGAACTCTCTTCATCATGATTAAAGCAGTCATATGTGCTCAGCAAAGTCCCATTTGCTGCTCTGTCATCTTTCCTCAAAGAGACGGGCAGATTTGCCAGGGTGAAATTCACATCTTTGAAGGCATGCAATAGAAAGATCCCCACAATAATAGTCAGGAAGCCACTGAAGGTGCCAATAATGTCATCTGCCGCCATGTGTTGCCATTCCTTGAAAAGGATGGCAGAACAAGTTAAAACAGATGTTGTAAAGATTACATAATATATTGGAGTCACTATCGAAGTGTTGAATATATCCAGAGCCCTGTTTAAATAGTTGATCTGCGTGCTCACACACACAATAAGGCTTAGCAGCAGAATCCAAAACAAGGGATGGTTCAGCACTGGTTTTCCTGCAAAGAGTTCCTTTATAGCGATGCCCAAACCTTTTACACAGGAGACTGATAATGCTCCAATTACAGAGCAAATTGTTATGTACACGAGAATGTTGGTCTGTCCATGGCGAGGTCCCACCACAAATATTAGAATTAAAGACACAATGACAACAACAGTTGCGAAGACCACAAAACCTGGGTTTGGGGGAAAAAAATAAGTCTTGTTATTTATGCACACTGTCAAAAGCATCTTAGAGGTACCAAGAAAATACTCATTAACAATGCAAAGAGCTCAGCTTAAACAGAAGCGTCCAGGTTGTTTCTCATTACTCCTCCAACATCGAAGTTAAAACAATTTAAAGCGAGCTAGCTGAAAGGAGACAAACCCAGGCGTGCTGTCTGTCAGCAAGATGACAACAGCATTAGATTGCTGAATGCCTTACATACACAGCCTCACCAAGGAGTAGATGCCACTGGGTACAGGCTTGTGTCTGAGTGCTTTGTAGGGAGGCACATTTTGGCAGGCTGCTATGTTCACTGGCAGCTTTCCAATAATCAGGTCATTCCTTAAGATCAGCTTTTAAATCTATGTGCTGCTTATTTCCTCATGTTTAACATGGGAATCATCTTTGCTTATATAGTATTTTGCAGATGTGTATCTGTGAGCACCTCATCTTTCATGTAAACATAGGAGCTAGTCTCCAGGATTACACTTCTCAGCAGACACCACAGCATTTTAAGGGTAGTTCAATTTGGCCTTAGAGACTGACACACTTCAATCAAAATGTGTAGAAGTTGTGTTTATCCAACTGTGCTGCTGCATTTGTTCAAACTGTCATCTCTGGTTCACATCAAGACATTCTGCTCAAGGCCAGACAACTTCACTGGCATCGTACAAAGCGCCTTATGGAATTATGTCACAGAATTCAAATCTCTGCTTCATTTGAACAACATGGGCTATCTCCCTGGAACATGAAAGCAACAGTAATGAAGCTGTAATAAAGAAATGATTGGCTGCGTACATACCAAGCCAGCATCTCTTACCTGGATCACCTAGTTTGTGGGACATTTCATTCAAGGTTTCTACTTCCTCTTCTTGTGGAGCATGAATTACCATCACAGTTGATCCCAGTATACTTAGCAAACACCCTATTTTTCCATGTAGGTTAAGTTTTTCATTTAAAATGAAGGATGACAGAATGGCACTAAGAAGAAAATGAAATGCACCAGCAAACATGGAATTAGTAATCTCTTATTCATTTGCTCATCAGCTTAGAGGTTGCTTGGACTATACAGGTCACTTGCATATACAATGTGCAGATTAAGAATACCTACAGTTGATTTCCTATCTCAAGATACTTGCTATGGACAGAACTACCCACCAATATTTGGCATCTCTCCCCAGAACATCTACTTTTATGCTGCCTACTAAAAAAAAAAAATATGTATCTAAGCACTTGTAAAAATAATTTTTTAATGACAAAAATCTTAATTCTGCTTCAGAATTAAAATACTACTCTGTTGTACACAACATGGATTTGAAATACAGAAGATGATAGCTTCTCACAGATTGAGGCATAGCTGCATTCCTAGAACCCTTTTACAGCATAGTCATTTCCCATTTGGAGAAACCTAAAGTTACTCCTGCTGGTTTTAAGCACTCTTTGTTTATTGTTAAGAACAAAACACATTTATTCCAGCACAGTTCAGTAGCATAGTAATAAATAAGTATTTTACTTCTCTCTCTGAAGTCACACTGCTTTCCATTTGGGTTTCTTACCTTACAAGAACACTGAGAGCTCCTAAAGGAGTCACTAATGTAGCTGGTGCAAAAGCATAGGCAGCAAAGTTGGCTACTTCGCCAGCTCCCACTGTGGAGTGATAATAATGACAATCAAAAAAAGGTGTTAGACTGTCTTACACAACCCACCTGGGAATGAGTGCAAGTGTTTTGGAGATGCAAGTATGTAGTCAGGGAACAATGGAACATGCTCATTATAGTGTTTAACTAACAGTACCAGCAGAACACACCCCTCAACCCCTGCCATTAATTTAAAAAGAAAAAAAAAAAGGCTGGGGGACTACAACAGGTATTACAATTAATTCAGCCAAATTAGAAGGTGTTTTATTTTGGTGTCTACATTGTAGCTCCCCAGCCTGCCAACATGACTCATGAATTTCCACATGGGGACGTCTGCAATAACAGGATACAGGGCAATGAATACACTAAGCCATAGTTACCTGAACACAACGAGTAAGTTGAGAGTTAAAGCAATGAACAAATGAAAGTTCAGAAAATCGACATCATCCCAGAATATGCTTCCCTCTAAAAAATCCTGTGTATGTAGGCACTTCTCTACTAAGGTAAGAACCAGAATGCATATGCTAGTGAAGAGATAGAGGAAAACCGAATGCCTCCTTAGTTCCACTGCCCAAAGAGGGCAGTTAATGAAAGAACTTCTGGTGTTACAGAAGTTCTATTAAAATTGTAAGAGCTGAACCCACCAAATCACAGTTAGCATTACCATACACTACAGAACCCCTATCTCACTTCTGTTTTGTCACCACTGCTGTCATCTGTGGAATAGTTATTTACTTAAATTACATAATGCAGATTATATTTTGATACTTACTTGAAAGAAGTCCAGCCCACCACAGCCACTCCTTAAGGTATGCATGACCACCTTGACCTAATATTGAAAGAATGCTTGTTACTCCATTAAAAACATACATGGATAAACAGTAAGCCGCATCACTGGTAACGCAGCTATAACATACTTGCAGTCCCTTAAAAACCATGGGCAGCCTTTTGATACTTAGGTTTCACAATTAGAGGGGTTGAAAACAAAGCATCTTCAATTTCTGAAGTGAATATGCCTCCTACAGCCTACTTTGAAGACCAGTTCTTTTATTTCTTTTGTATTAGAAATGGCACTGATGACCATATCTGCATGACCCTGAAAAACAGTTCTTTTAACTCATGGTAACATTATGAAAAGCCATATGTCTCTTACCAGACCACTACCTTGAGGAAATTACGTGTGGTTTATGTGGTTGATTACAGGTACAAACATGTGAAATGTAGTCACATTTCCCCATTCCGAACCAGGAAGTATCAAATACGTATCTCAACCACATCTTTCAGTTTAAAACCATTGTCCCCTGTCCTGTCACTACAGACCCTGGTAAAAAAAAAAAACAACAAAGCAACCAAGAAAAAAACCTCTCCATCTTTCTTTTAAGCCTCCTTTATGTATCGAAAGACCACAATAAGGTCTCCCTGGAGCCTTCTCTTCTCCAGGCTGGACAACCATAACTCTTTCAGCCTTTCCTCACAGAAGACGCGCTCCAGCCTTCTGATCTTTTTTGTGGCCTCCTTCTCGACTCACTCCAACAGGCCCACTTCCTTCTTATGTTGGAGGCCCCAGAGCTAAACACAGTACTACTATTACTGGTGGGGTCTCACTAGAGCAGAGAGGGAGATTCTTTTGATGCAGCCGAGGATATGGCTGGATTTCTGGGCTATGAATGCACATTGCCAGGTCGTGTCAAATTTTTCACCCACCAGTACCCCCAAATCCTTCTCCCCAGGGGTACTCTCAATCCCTTCATCCTCCAGCCTGTAATGATCCTGGAGATTGCCCTGACCGAGCTGCAAGACCTTACTCTTGGCCTTGCTGAATTTCACGAGATTTGCATGGGCCAACTCTTCAAGCCTATCAAGGTTCCACTGCAATCCCACTGTATGCCGACAACACCAAGCTGTGTGGCTCGG